CTCCGAGTACGTAGAAAAGATTATTGAGGTATTTATGGATGATTTTAGTGTTTATGGAGATAGTTTTGATGAATGTCTGGATAATTTAGTTTTAATTTTGAAGAGGTGCATTGAGGCAAATTTAGTTTTAAATTGGGAAAAGTGTCATTTCATGGTGGATCAGGGCATTGTTTTAGGGCATGTAGTGTCGGCCAGAGGTATAGAGGTAGACAAGGCAAAAGTCGATATTATCTCTGCTTTACTTTACCCCGCAAGTGTGCGGGAGGTGCGTTCCTTTTTGGATCATGCAGGATTCTACAGGAGATTCATAAAAGATTTTTCAAAAATTGGAGCGCCCCTGTTCAAACTGTTGCAGAAAGATGTGGCATTTGACATCACCGAGGAGTGCAAGGTGGCATTTGACAGATTGAGGGAGTCATTGACATCACCACCTGTTATCCAACCTCCAGACTGGAGCATCCCGTTTGAGATAATGTGTGATGCGAGTGACTATGCAGTGGGGGCGGTGCTGGGGCAACGGATTGGCAGAGCTGCTCATGCAATCTACTATACATCCAAAGCGCTGAATGGAGCTCAGCTCAACTACTCTACAACGGAGAAAGAATTGCTAGCTGTGGTTTTTGCACTAGAAAAATTTAGACCTTACTTGTTAGGTGCAAAAGTAATAGTTTTTTCTGATCATGCAGCCTTGAGATATTTGATGACAAAAAAGGATGCTAAACCAAGGCTCATCAGATGGATCCTGCTTCTTCAAGAGTTCAACTTGGAGATTAAGGATAAAAGTGGAGCGGAAAACTTAGTTGCTGATCACTTGAGCCGCTTGCTTGCTCACAAGGAGGAGCCACCATTGAGGGAGGCATTTCCAGAGGAGCAACTACTTGCTATTAACTCGTCTGTACCCTGGTATGCCGATTTAGTAAATTTCTTAGTGACTAATCAACTGCCTACAGGATGGCCAAAGGTTAAGAGAGACAAGTTGAAAAGTGATGCTAAATATTACATTTGGGACAAACCGTACCTTTGGAGACAATGTTCGGATCAAGTGCTCAGGAGGTGTGTAAGTGCAGGTGAATTGACAGGTGCCAAAAATTGACAGGTGCCGAACCTGTGCAATAATAATAAATAAAACCTAACTACCACCTGAAACAGTCAGTAATCAATTCGAGTACTGGAGCAGGGACTCTAGGTGTGCAATGGGTTACTTGATTCACCCTGTTCCCGAAGAGTTTGCTTAATCCGATATACCTGAATTAATTATTTAACTGAATTTCCTAACTAGTAGACAGTGGTAAGCAGGGTCGTCTCCTCAGGGACTGGAGAGATATTTGTTTCTTTTCAAATCAAGATTAATGGGGGGGTTTTGGTATCAAATGCCAACTGAACAAATTAAGTGCAGAAAATAATTTATTAAAAGAAATAACTAAGAGAAACTCTAGCCAAGGGTGTACTTCAGAAATGGTTCATGCAACTGATCATTGATTCAGAGGTAATTCCAACATTTACTAATAGATTGGTTATAGTTGTCTCGCACGCGCTAAACAACTAACCCTTCCGTAATTTATCGATAGCTAAGGTACGACCGTTAGCTATTTCTCTAACCCAAAAACAACCCTAGGTACGACCGTGGGATTTAATTTCCAGATTGCATTAATAATTAGAAAGGTCCAATCCTAACCAATAAACACGCTACGAGGGTTTATTTAAGCTAGATCATATATTCCCCTGACATAAACCCAATTATACCAGTTGCTACTGGGATAGAGGTAACGAACAATTACGGATTCAATTACCCCTATTTAGCAAAATAGTCTCTACGAATAATTAATTATTGCGCACTAATCAATCATACATAAGAACTATAACAATTAAGAGCAGGGAGTATATAAATACCAATAAACGGAGAAAATAATTAACAACGGCTTAGATCTCACAGTAATCGGTGAACCAATTCGTCAGTTGCCCCCTTGACTAGAATTAGGGGTTTAGGTTGATTAGAATTAGGGGTTTAGCTCCTCATTAATGGAGAGTAGGCCGCACGTGGAGAATTGGGAAAAATCACCGTGTCTGACCTTTTACTTTTTGGTCAAGAGCAGAGAACAAGAGCAAGAAATTTGGATTTCCTGCAATTGTCCCCAAAAGCCCAAACGTACAAGAGTCAGATTGTTCACTTGGATTGCATTCAGCGAAAGTAAAAACCAAAGCCTTGATGAGTCAACAACGGCGGCTTTGTTTTCTTCCTTTGCTCTCACAAAAGAGACATACGAGAGAAAGCTTTCAATTGCTTCTTTTGTCTTCCAATTTCGATCAACCCAATTCAATTCATAGACTGGAAAGTAGCAATTGCTCAAGTCAACAGAAAATGAAAAGCAATCCTAGAAAATGTCAACAATGGCGGCTTTTTTTCTCCTCTGATGCCGCCCCTCCCTGTTTCTTTTTTCCCCCCCTTCTCAAGCAAAACGTAAGAAAGGAATAATAACCTAAGCCTCCTTACGGAAGTCTAAATACTTCCCTCCGTTTGTGTCCGACATTTTCGGGAAGGGATTTTTCCCACAATTAAAAACAAGACTTCCTCCAATAAAAATAAAATTAAAATAAAATCTATTACAATTAGATTTCTTCATCTCTCAAGCGGGTCCCACGTACGATGAATCTTCTAAAAGTTGAATTTAAGCACTTTTCAGCATCCATTCCTGCAATTAACGCTCAAAACAAAATATCAGTAGAATCCACCCAATTAAGGAAAATATTTAGTCAATTAATTGTGCAATAATGCCCAAAATACCCACTAAAATGCATCCTATCAAAAGGTGATTGATTATAAACATAAGTAAACATATATAACTTTCCTACTTTATATAAGTATAAAAATTAAGGATAACAAAAGTGGTGATTGATTGTTGTTAACAAACATAGTAAATATTGTAAAATATGATCAAAATTAAAACATTAAAAACATAAATTCAGTAACAAAGTGGGTACGTGATTGATCGTTGTTAATAAAAATAGTACACCTAAAACATGAAAAAGGTTTAGAATTAGTTGTTGAATTAATCTTATATACACTATTAGTATATACACTATCACTATTAAATATAGGATTAATTTTCTATACACTGGTAGTATATACACTATCAGTATATATAAGGTTTACTTTTAAATATATGACATATGTGTAAAATTTAATTTTGAAATTCAAAATTTGTTTATGTGTCACCCATCCAACCGTGATAGTGTATATACTGACAGTGTATATAAAATTTACTCTTAATTGTTATTAATAAAAATAAAACAATTTAAATCTAATCAAATAAATTAAGGCAATGTGTATACGTGGCAAAAACATAACATGTCCACTTGGCAGAACATGACAATAACCAACTCAACAACACACTATACCGGGCATTGACAATAGTGAGTGCGTTTGGAAAAAAAAAATGACTTTCCAAATAAGGTGTCTTTTCATGGCTTGTTAGATTAGTGCAAGTTACAAAAAACTTAGCTTTTTACTATTTGTTCAATGCACAATGTGCACTGTGGCCCCATGCAAAGCAGCATGGGTCGGACCTTTTCACTATTGAAACATTAATTGGGCCAATAAAATTGGCCCAATAGAGTATCGAAATTACGGTTTTATCACTGGAGAAGAGGAAATCTACAGTTGAATAGAGGACGGAAACTATTGGTGATTCACATAAAGGTTATGCACTAAAATAACGTGATATAAATTGGGATGTGTGATGACACATTTGCTCGTTGTTGTGTCGAAAAATGGCGAGTCTAACTGCGAAGCGATATTCTGCCACGATTCGAAGAAGGAGGTTGTTCAGCAGCACAGCTAGCAATGGGAGTGCAGGGCCAATGTTGCGAAGACGTGCGAGGCTGTTCGTGCGTGGTAGGAAGCTCCTTTTTGCACAGACGGGCATTATGGATGAGACCTTCGACCCTGACAAAGGCGTGTCCTGTGATACGGTGTGGCACGATTACATTAAGCTCCCGGAACTGGATTAAGGATCCTGACATGGATATGGAAACAAGTGCAAAGTGACTTCTATCAACGTCGATGGAAGTGTGTTGATAGGCAGGAATCCTGCCTTAATGGATGATGGAACTGCGACCCAATGTGGTAGCACAATTGATGGCATATTAGGATCGTGCCTTAATGGAAGTGTGTTGCTCTGGAGGTCTACCTACCGCTACCATACCATACAGAGAACTCAAAACAAAAGGCCCTTTGCTTCAAAACTACAGAGGTCCCGAGGAACTGTTAAAGATTCCTTATGTTTTATAAGAGAGACTTTTAAGACTTGAAATTCTATGATGTGACTCTACTGGGCCAAAGTGTTCCGTTGATTTTGAGTCAAGATCCCAATGTGAATTCAACGACCGCATTTGCAAAGAATGTGAACTCAACTAGGCGTGCGAGTGTTGTAGTTTTAGCATTGACTTGCTTGACTTTTGGTCAATAATTTGGATAGTGAATTAGTATTTATTTAAATTTATTTCCTTATATCATCAACATATTTTTTTTATTTCATATACATCACATCAAAAAATTATTACAGTATTTTTTTCAAAATATTATCCAAAATAATCTACTGTCCAAACACACTTCGCATATTCTTTGTGCAAGAAAATGGAGTGCTAATGTTAACTTCTTAGACTTGGAATTCATAGTACAATTCCCAGAAATGTAAATCAGTAAGCAAATTTAATATTAATGCCAAAAGGACAGAAGCTGTTCATAAAATATGTATGAAATTATTAAACCAAGCTAGTGCAATTGGTTACTAGTATTAGGTATTTTGTTTGGTTAATATAGTAGAGTTCAATTCCAAGTTGTACTAGTACTAGTAGTAGTCAGGTCATTATATATATATATATGTGTGTGTGTGTGAGGGCCGAAAGATATCAGTTAAATAGTACAAATCCGTGGCCTCTTTGTTTGTATTTTGGCTTTTTATAAGTAGTAATCTCTGTCGTACTTTTCATTGTGTGTAGCTAGAATCTAGCTTCATCAATAGAAAAATCCCTTTGCCTCTTTGATCATTTGCCTTGAATATTTTTCTGTGGGTTTGTGATTGATTATCAATTTGGGTCCATCAAAATAGTGGCACATCACTTGCCGTCTCTATTGCACTTAATCATGGAGCAAATTTTCAATCATTTCCTTCAGGGACTCTTCTTGCTGTATTTTGTTTCAGCTTCCTCAGCCATGACCACAACCAATATTACCACTGATCAAGATGCTCTTCTTGCGTTGAGAGCTCGCATCACCTCACAGGGCCCTCATCAAATCCTGTTGAAAAACTGGTCTGTTTCTTCCCCTGTATGTCAGTGGGTAGGAGTCACTTGTGGCTCTTGTCACCGGCGAGTAACTGCCTTGGATCTTTCCAATATGAGTCTTAGTGGCATCATACCACCGCAGCTGGGAAATATGTCATTTCTGGTTTCCCTTAACCTGAGTAGAAATAATTTTCACGGAGAGCTGCCGCATGAATTTGCTCGATTACGCCGGTTGAGGGTGCTTGATTTAGATGTCAACAATCTCAATGGAGAGTTTCCTGAGTGGTTTGGTTTCCTTCCTCAACTTCGACTATTATCTCTGAATACCAACAGTTTCACTGGCTTCATCTCACCATCCTTGGCTAATGTTTCCAAGCTGGAAACGTTAGGTCTGTCATTCAACTATCTCCAGGGAAATATTCCAACAGAGATTTTCAACATTTCCTCACTGGAATCGATTTTCTTCCAGAATAATAGTTTATCTGGTAGCATTCCAGATAATATGTGTCAACATCTTCAGAGACTCAAGTGGATTGAGCTGTCAGGGAACAAGTTAAATGGTCAAATACCATCAAGCACACATAACTGTTCACAACTTCAATTGCTGGACCTTTCTTCGAATTACTTCACTGGATTCATACCAAAAAAAATTGGCACTTTGAAGGCACTTGAGCGGCTATATCTAAGCTGGAACAGTTTAGAAGGTAACATCCTATTTCTGCATGAGCGAAATAATATGAATTCTTCCTCCCCCCCCCCCCTCCCCCGGGGACAAGAAAAAAATTAAATAAACACAAGTTTAAGTGTCATAATAGAAGTTTTAAGGAGAAAACTCTTTACAGGTATGAACTCTTTATACTCCATTCCAAGTTTAGAAGGCATATGTGAATCTTCTTAACATCTCTATATACTACACTTTTTTTTCTTCCAGGTGAAATTTCAAAAGAGATGGCTAATTTAACTATGCTGAAAGAACTTGACGTTGGTTACAACAGCATAACAGGTAGACCAGGCGTCCATTATCCAAAATGAAGAAAAAAATTATAATGGTGCTACTTTAGAAGCATTCAAAGCCTTCATATAGAATTTTATTGTGCTAATGTTGGTACCGTAATTTGGTAGGTGCAATACCCCAAGAGATCAGCAAGCTACGCAATTTGGAACTACTCTACTTGTTGGTGAATAACTTAACTGGTTTCATTCCAATGCAGATCTTTAATCTGTCACAGATAAGAATTTTCAGTCTTACAAGAAACAAACTTTCTGGCAATCTTCCAAGGATGGGTTTTCCAAATTTAGAGGAGCTTTATCTCGCCGAGAATAACTTCTGGGGACCAATACCGGACTCTATCTCCAATTGTTCTAAACTGAAGATAATAGAATTTGCTTATAACAACTTCGCAGGTTCTATTCCCAATTCCTTTGGGGATCTAAGACTCCTAGAAATTCTATCTCTAGGAGCCAACAATTTAACGAGTGACTACTCTTCATCTAGTTCAGAGCTGAGCTGGATCAATTCCTTGGCAAATTGCAAACATTTGAGAATACTTATCGTGAGTGAAAATCCGCTTAACGGCTTTCTTCCAAATTCTATTGGCAATCTTTCAACTTCGCTTCAACAACTTTCTGCATACAATTGCCACTTAAGGGGCAGCATTCCGGATGAAATTGGCAACTTGAGTAGCCTGATCATTTTAAGTCTGTTCACTAATCAGTTAAGTGGGATGCCGCCAATTACCATGAAAAATTTGGAAAACCTTCAAGGGTTAGATCTTCACGACAACAAGTTGAGCAAAAACTCCCTTGATTATCTATGCGTTCTGCAAAACTTGGCCGAAATATATTTGGGAGCAAATCAAATATCAGGATCCATTCCGGCGTGCATAGAAAATGTTACTTCTTTGAGATACCTGTACCTAGATTCCAACGCGTTAAGCTCTAGTGTGCCTACCACTGTATGGAACCTAAAAGATTTGTTGGTGCTTAACCTCTCCTCAAACTCACTGCGTGGAAGTTTACCTCCTGAGATTAGGAACTTAAAGGCAGCAATTTCTATTGATTTGTCAATCAATGAGATTTCAGGTGGTATTCCTAGCCCCATCGGAGATATGGTGAACTTGCAGAACCTTTTATTGGCATACAACAGATTGGAAGGATCAATCCCAGTGTCAATTGGCACGACTTTGAGCTTGGAATGGTTGGATCTTTCACACAATCATCTCACAGGTACGATTCCAATGTCACTAGAGAACCTTCGGTCTCTTGTTTACTTCAATGCCTCTTACAACAAGTTAAGAGGTGAAATACCATCCAAGGGCCCTTTTTCAAACTTCACTGGAGAATCCTTCATTTCAAATGAAGCACTTTGTGGAGCACCTAGGTTCCACGTTCCCTCATGCCCAAGTACTTCAAGTGGTCGATTGAGGGCCAAAAAGTTGCGTCGAACCATATCCGCTGCCCTTGGAGCATTTATATCAGTGGCAGTTGCCATATTTGTGGGATTCCTGTATCTTAAACGCGCAAAGAAAGAACAAGTTCCTAGTGAAGGGGTTCTATCGTCAGTTGCAACCGAGGAAAGAATCTCGTATTACAAACTTCTACAAGCAACTGACGGGTATGATGAGAGCAATTTGTTGGGCACAGGAAGTTTTGGATCAGTTTATAAAGGCACCCTTGATGATGGGAGGATTGTTGCAGTTAAAGTGTTTAAAATTCAACAAGAAGGAGCATTCAATAGTTTTGATGTAGAATGTGAAGTATTGTGCAATCTTCGTCATCGAAATCTGACAAAAGTCATTAGCAGCTGCTCAAATAGAGACTTCAAAGCATTAGTGCTTGAGTTTATGCCCAACGGAAGCCTTGAGAAATGGTTGTACTCCCACAACTATTTTCTAGAAGTCATGCAGAGATTAGACATATTGATTGATGTGGCATGTGCACTGCAATATCTGCACTACGGTTATTCGATTCCAGTGGTTCATTGTGATGTGAAGCCCGGTAATGTGCTCCTAGATCACGATATGGTTGCCCATGTGACTGATTTTGGTGTTACAAAGTTGCTGGGGCATGAGGATAGCATTACGTACACCAAAACATTAGCCACACTTGGCTATCTTGCTCCAGGTAAAGCTTCTTCTTGGTATAGCCACTCTGCTTTTTTGCCTTGCAGTTAATCTTGGAAATCCCAAATTCCAAATCTTTTGGATTACTATTTTTGTTTGTAGAGTATGGACTGGAAGGACTAGTATCAACAAAATGCGATGTATACAGTTTTGGAATCACGATTATGGAAGTCTTTACAAGAAAAAGTCCCAGTGACGAAATGTTTGGCGAAAATTTGAGCCTGAAGAGTTGGGTGAGTGATTCTATGCTAAATGGACTGGTTCATGTTGTAGATGCTAATCTGCTGAGGTCCAATCATGAAAAGTTAGACTGCATTTCATCAATCATGAAAGTGGCTTTGAATTGCACAAGGGAATCTCCAAGGGAGAGAAGCAATATGCATGATGTTCTTGCTGATCTAAAGAAGATCAAAACTCAGCTCCTGCCATGTTCAAAAGCAGGTCCATGTCCTCCCAAAAATTACTAGTTCTACCGAGTCTAAAGTCATATTATATATAACTAGCCAGTTACGGTTGTATTTGGTGCAGATGTGTGTGATTGTTGTCTTTTTTCAAAATTTAGTGCATATTTAACAATTAGATTTATTTATACATTAAATTGATTTGCACAAATAAAACTTACGAGCATAATAAAATTAGATACTAATACACTAATGTATAAGAAATATAACAACCGTATGACCATACAAAAATTTCAATCACACTTGTCCTTGGTATAGATATTTAATGATCTCTAGAGTTTAGATAACTAAACTTTTCATTAATTTTTTTTTATTGATTTTGCAAGTGAACTTTTCACTAGAATTTACTTTTGAAAAGAAAGAGTATGAAATGACAAGACATGCTATAAAGACGGTACAATTTATTAATCGTCACGCGAGTCAAACAATGTAATTGCATCACTATAGGTCCAAAGCAAATGAAGCGTGCCGTAAATTAGGTGGATCAAGATTTTCACAAATATAAACAATAAAACTAATGGACCAAACAAGCCAAAGATGAATTCAATTAATCACAACAATAGCAAGTCATTGACACCTTACTAGGATGAAAAAAAGAATTACCAGACAAACATGAGAGCAAAAGATCTCAATTTGGCTTGGAGGTACTACTTGTAACCAAAGAATAAGACACCATTCACCTGATTAATTTTGTTCTTTTCCAAAAATTTTAGTAGAGGGAAAAGGAAAATTATCCACTACTTTTCCTATTTTGTTCATGAGATTGCCATGATGTAATGATCGTGACGTTTATCTAACGGTTCGGTCAAATAATCTTTCTTCAAGGGACGAAGTGTACATAAAGTTTTAAAAAAAAGAAACGTTTACCCTCATAAATCGTAAGTATCAATCACAATCAATGACTACTATTTTTTAGTTCGATTTGGTGCCGCCAAACTAATTAAATCCCACTATCTCGAGATGGGCTCTTTCTCGAGATACTTTTCCCTATCAATATTTTCATTAAAAAAATGTATATAGTTACTGCACTGTCAAAATATTATGAGGGTTGTAGAATTCTAGTTGATTGGATATGGATAGTTTTAGTTCACAACTTCTAGTTTCCTTTAATTTATTAAATTCGCAGCAGATGTTAATCTTCTTTCGTTCTTTTTCCTTTTCTCTTCTATTTTGTAGACCTACTTAGTGTGTATAATGTGATTTTCGATGACAAGCAGCGAACGCAAAGTTACCATCAAAATATCTATCTTCATTTAACTCTTGGGTTAATCTTCTATACACAGTATACAAGAATAATCCTTGACTCATTGTTGTGAAACAAGATACCTACTTTAATTAACTCTAGTATGTTAAGCAAAGTAAAAGTATATGCAAAATGACAACGAAACCGCCTTATTCATTTGTAAAGCACATACATCACTTCAACATGATCTCAATAATAAGAAGTTCATATTCATACATTTACAAGTTAGAAAGCACGTACAATCCTACACGTTTAGCAAATTTAACAAACTTATGCCCTCAAGAGGTCATGGTGAATTTGGTTCAGCAACAGGTGCAATAGGGCCTCCAGGCGGGGAACAGACACAGGGGCAGCATCTGCCTGGAGAGGGTTGACAGGTGCCGAACCTGTGCAATAATAAATACCTGCTCAAATAAAATACAAATTCTGTATATAGCGGTAAGCATGGTCGAATCCACAGGGACTGGGGATAATTTAATTTCTTCTCAAGTTCCAGATATGGGGGTTTTTGAAAATGAGAGTAACTAAATTGCTTGGAATAAATTAAAATAAAATAAAATAACTACAACTCAAATAACTAATTATCACAATAAAAATAATAATTGACGAACTCTAGCCAAGAGACAACTTCGGAGATGGTTCACTTAATTCGATCACAGATGCAAGGATTATTCCAGTTACTATCTGATAAATTAGTTATAGTTGTCATACACGCGATAAACAACCAACTCTTCCTCAATTTGTCGATAGCCAAGGTACGACTGTTGACTATTTCTCTAATCAGGAAATAACCCTAAGTACGACCATAGAAGTTCAATTCCCTAATTGCATGAATAATTAGAAGAGTCTAATTCTAACCAATCAACACGCTACGAGGGTCTCTTTAAGTTAGCCTGTCTATCCCCCTGACACAAATCCAATCATGCCAGTTGCCACCAGTTTAGAATAATTAAACAATTACGGATTTAACTATCCTAATTGGCTTCAGGTTATTGAATTAATCTAGAATCCGGGCCCTGGATAATCGAATGATAAAACAACCATATGAACATAAAGCAGAAGATAGACAAATATCAGTGAATAATGAAAATAAATAAAAACTAATTCGATCTCACAAATTTAGTAGAACCAAGTCCTCCGTTGTTCTTGACTAGACAAACTTAACCACGTCTCATGAGAAAATCTTCAAGTAATTTCATTGAGGTCCAGGCCATCCAAAGAGCCAAGAAAGAAACAAAACTAAACTATGCTAAAAAACTCTCAATTCCCCAAAGATAAAGCCGCGGCCAAAGGAAAAGAATTGTCTCCTAATCTAAAACAAATTGCTTCACTTCTCTCCGTGGTCCCCACGAATTAGCACAAGCCTGCCGAATCCACCTCCTTGTTTTGAGCCCCTGTGCGGTCCCTACCGAATTGAGCAAGAGTACAAGTAAAAGTGGGGCTCTGACGAATTGTTTTCTCCCTATTCTTTTCGTTTCCAAATGCTACTCAGCCTCCCCCTATTTCCGTTTGTTTCTGCCGAAGATAAGGAAAAGAAAAGACAAAAGGTCTCAATGTCCTTCTTTTTCGTTTCTTCTTCATAGTCAGACTCCTAGTCAGCAAAAGGGAGCTGGAAGTCCGTTTCTTCTCAGCAACGCGGGCCAGGTTTGTGAAGTTTTTTAGAAGTCTCCCTTTTCTCCAGAAATTATCCCCTTTTTCGTAATTTCCTGCTCCATTCCCTGAAATTAAGTCCCAATACCAAATATAAGTACATTTCAACAATTAAAACAATATTTGGCAAGAACAAAGAGGGAAATTAATCATAAAATTAACAACAAATTATGCCCTATCAATTCTCCCCACACCTAAATCATGCTTGCCCTCAAGCATGAGAACAACAATTGAATACCGAAATTTAATAATGGCTATTGTTCCAACTACCGTATTGCCAAGGTACCCAGAAAAACATATGTCAAGCATCACGGGTTAAAATCAAAGAAAAACCACCCGGTTAGCTTCCCAATCACCAACTCCTCCAATTTAAAGCAAACTAATCTAAGGAAAAGGAATGGTTGCTCACATCTATCAGTAAATGGTCCAACTATTAATAAAAATCTCGACATTAAGATCACAAACCGACAAGCTGACTTGTTCACATACTAACACAATATATTATTTTATTTTATTTTATTTTTTATTTTATTTTATTTTTTTTTTTGAGTAACAAAAGACTTAGTCCATAGCCCTTAGAACCTTTTGACGCGAACCCCAACATTTGATAGATGGAGGAGCCCGGTTACTCAGCTCCAATCGCTACAGGACCACGCACTCATAGCAATTACTACCTTTTGACGCGAAAATCGACACTTTAGGTGAAGATCCCCGGTTACTTAGTAGTAACTACTAGCAGAGTACAGTCAGCTCTTATTTACAACCATACAGCACAATAACTAAAAATAACACAAAGATAACAGCAGCCAGCCTCAAATTTCCAAATATGGAGAACTAAAATTAATAATTGGACCAATTCACATAAAAAAAAATGCCAACTATCATTCCCCATGCCTAGAAAAGTTAACCAAAAATTGGAAAAGTCAAGCAATTACCGATATTCACCAGAGAGATGTTCATGAACTCAACCACATTAATTTAATATCCTTTTGTTAATAATACTTGGCAATAGCAGAATTAGAGACAACAATCCAGCATCAAACTTGGTATTCATATGAAGACTGACCACTAGAAAAAAAAAAGGAAATAAAATAAACGAAAAAGGAGATAAATATCAAACTAAAACAAAGGAAAAACCTCTAGAACAAAAAAAAAACTAAAAATACTAGCACCCAAACTGACCCCCCCCACACCTAATTCACACATTGCCCTCAATGTGCTAAATAAACAGTAATAGTAAGCAAAAGAACAACGGTACTTCCCTGAAATCACGGAGATCATGGCAGGGCCACAGCAGTGGGTGAGGCGAGGCTTGGTTGAGTTGGGTTGGAGTAGGTTAAGGTCAAGAGATTCTGGACCTAGAAGAGAACCTTGATCTCACTATTGCCGCTAACAAGTAACCCAATCAACAGAAACAAAATTGCCAACATATAGAGGAACAAGTAAATGCAGATCAGTAGAAATCAACATCCTCTAATGAAGTCAACAATCAACCCAATAAGCACAGGTATCTCCCAATTCAAAAGGGTAGTGCGTAATAAATGGCCCACCAAATTAGCAATTTAAAGCCCTGAGCAATTTAAGCCCAACAAGTCAATCAGTACCAGAAAATCATTCCAAACAATGTACCAGTTAAACTCCACGGGCAAAGGACGTCCAACCAATTTCACTCAAGCAAACTAGGAGCAATGCGACTGATTAAACAAAGCAACAAATTTCAGCAATTGGACACATATCCACCCAAAATCCCCACAAATGCCCCCAAGAATTCAGCAAGTCCAGTAATAGCAGGTCAGAATTTAGGCAATAACAACTTAGTCACAAGCTCGGAGCTTTCAATCAAGCAGCCAACCAAAGAGAATGAATAAATGTTAGGCAAACTACCACATCCAGTACCACTGGTGTACGCACAGAGAAGAATTAAATCAAACGGCAAACTCAATTCACTAAGAAACCCCAAACAATCAACTTAGCAACTAACTTAATTTATGGCAACAATCAGCGTAATAAAAGCCAGTGTGTCACAGGTAAGCCGACAAATGACTGACTGGAGCCAACCAGAGCTCAACACAGACCCACAGAAGGCAATTACGGAATTAATTAGGCAAAAATGCAGTAGAGGAACCACAAGTGAGTTCAGCAAACAAATTTTCAAAGTAATGCCCAAAAAAAACAAAGAAAAGTGGAGTAGAAAACAAAGAGCAGCGGCGGCCTTTGGAGCTGCTGAAGGTGGAGACGAGCTGGCGGTGCAGAGCTGGTGGTGAACAGCAGCGGAGAGAGAGGTGAGAGAGCACAGGGGGCTGGTGGAGGTCCCCTGCTTGTTCGCACGATGCAGCGCGGCGGAGCGCCTGGGCTAGAGCTGCGGTATGTAGGCGCGGCTGCCAAAAATTCAACAGTGCTTGTGCAGGGCAACAGCGGCGAGCAGCGGCGGTGGCAGCTGGGTTGCGCGCAAGGGGCTGCTGGATAGAGCAACGGGCAGCAGATGGCGTGCGTCCGTGGCTTTGGGAGGCGGCGGCGGCGGCGACTGGTGCGAGCGTGGCTGGCAGGAATGGCGGCGGAGGACAGCGGTGGTGCTGGGCGTGCGGCAATGGCGAAGCTGGGGAAGAGCTTGCGGAGGTGAGCTGAAGTGTGGCTGGCGAATTGATGTGGTGGTGGAGCTGGATGGTATGGGTGAAAGGGCGGCGGCCGGAAGAAGAAATAAAAGAAAACGGAAGCAGGGCAGCGAGGAAGAAAGAAAGAAAGAAAGAAAGAAAGAAGAAGAAAGAAAGAAAAAGAAGAAAAGAAAAAAAAAAGTTTTTGGGAAAATTTTTTTTTTTTTTTTAGTCAAGGACCCTCTGGCTAAGGCGTGGGCACGCCTAACTGCCCCTAGACTTTTGACCATCCGTCGAAAATTCTCGATCCGTTAGCGTGACCACCTAGCGTGGGCACGTCTAACTGCTATAGAGTCCGCAGAACCTGAACGAAAATTTTCTCCGTCAGGCGTGACCATCTGGCGTGGGCACGTCTAACTCCTATGGAGTTCACAGAACCTGAGCGAAAATTTCTTTTCCTCAGACGTGACCACCTGGCGTGGGCACGTCTAACTGCTATTTCCCTGCCACCAAACATCAAACCATTAATTGACACTAACACTTAACTAAAACTTCAAAAATGCATGAAACTAAAACAAATAGTCTTGGGTTGCCTCCCAAGTAGCGCCTTTCTTTAATGTCTTTGGCTAGACATTTTCATGTGTATTCATGGAGGATAAAATCTTGTGGCTCGTTTCAGTGCTTCATCTTCTATGTAATCCTGATAACCCTCGTAAATGGAGTAATTCTTGGGCACACGAGCTACGGGCTTCCATGGACTAGTAAATGGCACCAAACAAACAAATGATGATCTTAAACCTTCACTCACTCCTCCATCAAGAGCACTTATTGGTTCGAGATATTTTGCCATCATGACTCTCAATTTATTCCTGGTATGAAATTCAAAATCGTCTGGTAAAATAAAATCAATCTCACTAACAGGAATTAAAGAATAAGAGTCACGAAAATGTTGATCAAGGAATGGATGAGATGTCACCGCATTTGGAGATTGTTCACTGGATTCATTCACTTGAACCATTTGATGTTGGGGTCTCAATTCTTGCTCTTCAACTTTCTTTTCAACTACATCTTTAGATTCTTTTTCTTGAGACTCTTGCAGTACCATGTCATTTGTCAGAATAATTGCACTCTCATCTTCCTCATGGTCGATAATAGTCGGTGAGGGCAATTCTTCATAAACTGGAGAAATCAATTTGCTCGTTTTAAATGCCCATTCAAGCCTTGCTTCTTTCATCTCTTTATTCATCCTTTGTGTCTCCTGTTGAAGTTGATGTACCTCCTGTTGAATTTGATATGTGTTAGTAGCTATTAATTCAACCATTTCTTCAAGAGACATACCTGACATGGATGACGGTTCTTGAGACTCATACTGCTGAAAATTCATTGGCCCTGTTGTATAATCATAACTGGAGTTATCCCACCATCCTTGATCATACCCGTTTGGATTAGGGTTATACCACGTTTGAGACCAGGGTGAAAAATCTCCATAATTATTGAATGTGACACTCAAATCATCTTGATATTCGGGGCACATACCGATTGAATGATCCCTGGCATAACAAATTTCGCAGGTTGCAGCAGCCATTCTTTTTTTAATAGAGTTTATTGCCTCTAAATATGCAAACTTAGAAAAACAATCAGTCTCATTGCCTTCCCCGAAAACAAAATCCAGTATATCACCAAAAAACGGAGTGTTAGAAGCCATGAACTATATAATAAAAAAAAATAAGAGAAATAAGTTAAAAATGAAAACAAGGTGAACTTCAAAAAGAAACAAATTAATCTGACACCAGTCCCCGGCAACGGCGCCAAAAATTGACAGGTGCCGAACCTGTGCAATAATAAATACCTGCTCAAATAAAATACAAATTTTGTATATAGCGGTAAGTAGGGTCGAATCCACTGGGACTGGGGATAATTTAATTTCTTCTCAAGTTCCAGATATGGGGGTTTTTGAAAATGAGAGTAACTAAATTGCTTGGAATAAATTAAAATAAAATAAAATAACTACAACTCAAATAACTAATTATCACAATAAAAATAATAATTGACGAACTCTAGCCAAGAGACAACTTCGGAGATGGTTCACTTAATTCGATCACAGATGCAAGGATTATTCCAGTTACTATCTGATAAATTAGTTATAGTTGTCATACACGCGATAAACAACCAACTCTTCCTCAATTTGTCGATAGCCAAGGTACGACTGTTGACTATTTCTCTAATCAGGAAATAACCCTAAGTACGACCATAGAAGTTCAATTCCCTAATTGCATGAATAATTAGAAGAGTCTAATTCTAACCAATCAACACGCTACGAGGGTCTCTTTAAGTTAGCCTGTCTATCCCCCTGACACAAATCCAATCATGCCAGTTGCCACCAGTTTAGAATAATTAAACAATTACGGATTTAACTATCCTAATTGGCTTCAGGTTATTGAATTAATCTAGAATCCGGGCCCTGGATAATCGAATGATAAAACAACCATATGAACATAAAGCAGAAGATAGACAAATATCAGTGAATAATGAAAATAAATAAAAACTAATTCGATCTCACAAATTTAGTAGAACCAAGTCCTCCGTTGTTCTTGACTAGACAAACTTAACCACGTCTCATGAGAAAATCTTCAAGTAATTTCATTGAGGTCCAGGCCATCCAAAGAGCCAAGAAAGAAACAAAACTAAACTATGCTAAAAAACTCTCAATTCCCCAAAGATAAAGCCGCGGCCAAAGGAAAAGAATTGTCTCCTAATCTAAAACAAATTGCTTCACTTCTCTCCGTGGTCCCCACGAATTAGCACAAGCCTGCCGAATCCACCTCCTTGTTTTGAGCCCCTGTGCGGTCTCTACCGAATTGAGCAAGAGTACAAGTAAAAGTGGGGCTCTGACGAATTGTTTTCTCCCTATTCTTTTCGTTTCCAAATGCTACTCAGCCTCCCCCTATTTCCGTTTGTTTCTGCCGAAGATAAGGAAAAGAAAAGACAAAAGGTCTCAATGTCCTTCTTTTTCGTTTCTTCTTCATAGTCAGACTCCTAGTCAGCAAAAGGGAGCTGGAAGTCCGTTTCTTCTCAGCAACGCGGGCCAGGTTTGTGAAGTTTTTTAGAAGTCTCCCTTTTCTCCAGAAATTATCCCCTTTTTCGTAATTTCCTGCTCCATTCCCTGAAATTAAGTCCCAATACCAAATATAAGTACATTTCAACAATTAAAACAATATTTGGCAAGAACAAAGAGGGAAATTAATCATAAAATTAACAACAAATTATGCCCTATCAAGGGTGGTGGTGCGCAACAAAAACAGCGAGGACAGATCGGGGGCTGCACCAGAAGTTCTGCATTCAAAACCAAATCAAGTAACACAGAAACAGATTATGATAATGTTGGAATCCAAGCGCGAAACAAATGACTATTAAGACATCAAAAATTGAAATCAAACAAGCCAATTTCCTAACATATACAGGTCAAATTATTTTGTTCATGAACAATTTAAATATATTGATCAAGATTGGGTCCTAGTAATTTTTTATTAGGCACATGATACCTCGGGTTGGTCTTGTTGCCTCGCATGGTAACATCAGCTTTGGAGTGAGAAAAATGGCGAAGAGAATGAGGATGGCCACAGCAGCCCTTGGAGAAGAGATTAATGCCATTGTGGACAGCAGGATTACCTAGCTGAAAGGGTGGTTTGGTATATTTAGATGCACACCCATGGGCGCATATTTATAGGGTTTGGACACCATCAAATGATGCAAGTACCTAATCGTTTTTTTTTCCCCGTAACTGCATTAATGCATTCGTGTAAACACTTTTGTAAGTGTCCAAACTCCAAATTTTTATTCATTTAACAGACTTTCGTGAAATTTCTTCTCCTCCAGTTATAGCCATGGGTGGCCTAATTGTTGGCTACTGTCCACGGATTTTATTATTGACTTGAATGTTAGAAAATATTTGGATTAAAAGCATTAAATCGCCCTTGACTTTATTCTCAGTTGCACTTTACCGCCCTCAATTCAATAAATAGACACTTTACACGCCTATTTCATGTTGTAGGACGAAAGTGCCACTTCTATATTAATTATTATTATATTTTTTCTTTTTTATCCTTTTTCTACTTGTCCCTTATACATGTATGTATATATGTATGTATGTATGTATGTATGTATGTATGTATGTATGTGTGTGTATGTATGTGTGTGTGTGTCTATATGTATATATTTATATTTTCTCCTCTCTCTCATGCAATCAACTACTTTCTTTTCTTTGCTATTATTATCTATATATTAATTTTAATCTTTTTAAACTTATTCTTTTTTTATTTCTATCTTTTTTATTTTCTGTTACTGAAAGTAATAATGATCATAAAGTCCATGCTATAACAAAGTATATATTATCTATGCGTATAGACTATTTCATATATTACTTAAATCAATATGTCTAAAGTTTAGAATAAAATAATTTTTAATAACAGCCATAATAAATTCAAATTGTAATAACATAGCAGTCAATCAACTATACATGAAAAAAGGTAAATAAGAATATTAGTTACCTTATTTTTTGGGATATACTTTAAATATTAAGTAGTTTAAAGTTCTCATTACCTAAAAAATTTAACGTTCTAGTTTGTTAATATCTTTTTAAATAGTTAAATTACTAGTAATACACACTTTTTAATTATGGCGAGCGTATATTAGTTTTTTTACACTATAGAATTTGTCTTGAATTTTCTAATAGTGTAAACGAAAAAATGAATGAAATTATGAGTAAAAGATAATTAGTCTATTGTAATAAGATACAAATTATTAATACTAATAGGAAAGTGAAAGAAAACAATGGCTTTTGAGAAGTGAGAAAAAAAATAGTAAAAATAAAAAAATAAAAAATAAAGGAAGTGAAAAAGACAAAACAAGGGAATGAATAAATAAAAAATAAAATAAAATAGTAAGTGCACTTTTGTTTTAAAATATCAAATAGGGGGGCAAAGTGCTTATTTTGTGAGTTTAGGGGGGGCAAAGCGTAACCAAGGA